ACACACACACACGCACACACACACACAGGTCTCCCTCGTGCTCGCCAACTAACATATGAACATCCACTACAGATACAATGACGATGGTCTGCGTCTCCGTCTGGCGGAAGGTCAGGTACAGCAAAGCTTACATATTGCATGTCAGCTGCATTTGTATGAACGTGTGCACGTCTATTTGGGTTGGATCGGCCTTCACCCATGTCCATGTGTCTAGTACATGACCCTTGCAGTCTCCCATGGCATCTCATTCTGACCTGGTACCATGTCTCTATCGGTCCTTTTTTCAGTCACGGGTGCAGTTTGGCCCTCGCTCTCAAAAGCCCTGTCCCCACTGCTGCAGGTGCTGAGGTGTCGCAGGGCTAAGCGCAAGCGCAAGCCACGCCAAACAAACGTCTCCGAAAGCCAGTCGCAGTTGGCAACGGAGTCCGGAAATCGTCTGGACCCAGAAAATAGGACAGCAAAACGGGTCAAAAACGGTCCCTTTTTAAATACAGGTGCCGCAAGCACACCCACAGCAACGGCCATCAGCACACAGACAGCTGGTACTGTTGACGAGGGCTTGCACAGGGGGAGCGATCCAAACCCTACAACCCTACACGAGCGAAGCCACGACAGTGCGTGTGGTGTGCACGTGGTGGGAGGTGGCAGTGAGTCACTCGGGAGGTGTGTGGGCTCGAGTGACGGGAAGGTTGAAGTATGCGATCTCCAGGCTACTACACACAGAAGGACACACACACGCACACACACACGCACACACGCACTCACACACGCACACACACGCACACGCACACACACACAAGCCCACACACGCACACACGCACCGTCAGAGGACCACACACGTACGCGACACTCGAGCGCAGAGGTGCCGTTGGCTGCGGCGTTGAGCACCTGCGATGGAGTACTCCGTCCCGATATAATCTTCTTTGGCGAACCGGTAGGGCAGGCGCATGTGCGTGGTCTAAAAATAGATTCGGAGGTGGCTGACTGTGTGCTGGTGGTAGGTACGTCGTTTAAAACAGCGCCCATGTCGCAAATGCCGTTCGCCTTTCGGAGGACCACACCGCTGGTGTGGGTCAATAAGTTACGCTACACGGACATACACACAGGACCGGTGCAAATTGCACCTGTCCCCGTTTGCGATACAGGGCCGGGACAAAAAGGCCGGCCAGATTGGCACGGAACTATAGGTAGGTATGCGCAACTGTGTGCGTCTGGAGATGTTGACCGTGCGAGTAAGTGGTAGGATATCTGAGTTGTCTTTGTGTTTATTTATGTGGTTTTGTTTATGTTTGTGGGTGGGTGGGTGTGTGTGTTCTATGTATTTGCATATGTGAGTTGTCTTTGTGTTTATTAATGTGGTTGTGTTTATGTTTGTGTGTGTGTGTTATAGTTTGTCCATGTATGTATAGATGTACTTGCACACACACGTGTTAGGGTTTAGAGTTTTACACGTGAGCCCCCACACACTGACTATTTGAATCCGTACCGTCTTCAAGAACGGCACACGTGCGATTTATTGAATACGTATCATCAACACAGCACATTGCATTGCATGCGAAAGACAGCTGGAAATGGATACAGGGAAGTTGTATACGTTCATACCAGATTTATACGTATGTGTGCTATATTGCACTATATGTGTTCATACCAGATTTATAGGTATGTGTGCTATATTGCACTATATACGTTCATACCCGATTTGTACGTATGTGTGCTATATTGTACTATATACGTTCACACCAGATTTGTACGTATGTGTGCTATATTGTACTATATACGTTTATACCAGATTTGTACGTATGTGTGCTATATTGTACTATATACGTTCATACGAGATTTGTACGTATGTGTGCTATATTGTACTATATACGTTCATACGAGACTTGTCCGTATGTGTGCTGTATTTTACTATATACGTTCATACCAGATTTGTACGTATGTGTGCTATATTGTACTATATACGTTCATACCAGATTTGTACGTATGTGTGCTATATTGTATTATATACGTTTATGCGAGATTTGTACGTATGTGTGCTGTATTGTACTATATACGTTCATACCAGATATGTACGTATGTGTGCTATATTGTACTATATACGTTCATACCAGGTTTGTACGTATGTGTGTTGATGCATATGTACGTCTGCCTATAGTGCATGTTCTATAGTCCGTCTTGGAGCGTACAGGCTGCCTCCAATTATAGTCGATTGCCTATGTGCCTGAACACTATCACAAACTTGTTCCTGTGGACAGATACGTGAACAGCGTAGACAGCATCAGCGATTGTTATCTTCACAACCGCTCGAGTATGTGAGATATGCGAGTACGTGCCTGATTACAGTACCAGAATTGCATACCCAACAACAACCACCTTTTAAAGCAACCACCTTTTAAAACAACCACCTTTTAAAACAACCACCTTTTAAAAAACAACCACCTTTTAAAACAACCACCTTTTAAAACAACCACCTTTTAAAACAACCACCTTTTAAAACAACCACCTTTCAAACCAACCACCTTTTAAAACAACCACCTTTCAAAACAACCACCTTTTAAAAACAACCACCTTTTAAAACAACCACCTTTTAAAAGCAACCACCTTTCAAACTAATCACCTTTTAAAGAAAACCACCTTTTAAAACAACCACATTTTAAAAATAACCACCTTTTAATGGCACACTTTTGCTTTAGATGTTACAGATGGCATACGTAGTTCTATATTTATATGCATCAGCCAGCACCGTACACCCGTATTTTAGGTTCTTTGGGTAGACAAGTTAGTTCACGTACACCCGTATTATTAGTTTGTTACAGCTTCTTTGAATAGACAAGTTCGTTTGTTTTCTGTTCACCCAACTGTATCTGTCACCTTTACGTAACCTAAGGTGCACGTCCTTATCCTTGGCAACTCCAATGCCTCGGCCCAACAAAGCACACACCCGCTGGTCTAAGCTACAGTCACTTCTCAGCGGTTTCTATCTTAGCACTCGCGGTTGGCTGTCTACAACCCCTCACCCACACCACACACCACGACTGTCTATTGAGGCCATTCAAGTACTTCTCCAGGAACATGCTGCACGCTGAAAATAGGCACTCTGTGCGTGTTTGTATGTTCGCGTATGTGCAGTGTGCACTCTACGGGAGGTGCTGCTATGATGGATGTTGTGATTCACCACCGTACGTATATGGCTGGTCATAGTACGGTAGTTGTCAGTCCGGGCCTCACAATCAACCCCTCTTTGTCACATCTGTTGCCAGTGCTGTTACAAACACCTTGTGTATATACTTGCCCTTCAGACTTTGAACACCGTATGTATATACTTTCCCTTCAGACTTTGTATTAGAGCTGCTGGGAGATTGTGACACAGTGGTGCGAGCCCTGCGCCAAACGATCGAGTGCGCTAAGTGCTCCCAACCGGCACGTAAACGGCATAGAGCACGCAAGACGATAACAGGAAGTTCGGCAAATGACGGTGAGATGCTAATTCATGCACCTACAGCAAAGGATAACGTCCTTGTGATCACGGCTATGGGAGACCGACTGAAGGATGAAAAGGAAGCGACGTTGCCGTTCAAGGCAGCCGATGGTCTGTCCTGTTGTGTATGCGGAGGGGAGGCTGGTATCAATAGGGAGATTGCAATTGTGGCATATCAAGGGGGACATGCAGTGCAGCTGTAGTGTAGAGTATCATCTAATGGGGCGAGCCAGTAACTCACACAGAGTGAGACGGATACCACAAGGTCTAGGTCTACTTGGATGGTTAGAGATTGACATATTCCAACGCATGAGACCTAAGACCACTAGGTCCAACGTTTCTGCTTCGGACCGCGAGAGATGTCTGTGTCTGACTTTTTCGTTTCGCTCGTACGTTCAGTAGTCTGCCGAAGCGTTTCATCAATCTGTTCAACGTTAAAGGAACACACACACAAGGGTAGACGGGGGCTGGCTGAAATGTCACATGACTCTGGTTCGGTTTAATAAGTACGGCACCCGCTAGTGTATGTATGTACCGTGAATAAGGCCGGTATAAGGCAGGTATATGGTGACTTGCAAATGAATTAATAGACTTAACATTTCTACGCCAGTACGATCCACAAAGTGGCTTCGTCGGTTATATACGAGGGGTGATTGTTTCAGAAAAGATTGTTTATAAAATATCACTTTTCCGGCTCATCTAGGCGTACGCTACGTATCAAGAATAAACCTGCAATACTGCTTCTGACTCCGCCGATTATATGAACAATTAGCTTTATTCGAAGGCACGATGCCCGAAATACTGGAGAGAGAGGATTCGTGCACAGTTTGAATTTGTCCACCCACTATCCGATTGTATACCCTCAGAACGCCACAAACAGTGTATGTTAGCTTTGGGCGCCAGATTCCAAAGTTGAAAGTTTCTTCTTCTTCTACTATCAATAGCCTGTAGCTAGCACTATGTAATATACTTATTGATCTCAGTACTTTACAAGTGCTGATGGCCCGCGTGTTCTTCATATTTGGGCCACAATGTATGTACATAGTGTCATTTTTTCCTAAGTGGTATACGGGTATACTCAAAATGTATCAGAATCTAATTCGTTTATATTCAAAATATAAAAATACGATCCAGCTAGGTGAGTCCTGATAGTCGCCTCCGACATGTCGAACTAAACCCACCACCTCTGCGAGAATCTGAATGCTGCAGTTGTAGCATGTCCTATAGAATACTCAACACACAAGAACAGACTCATGGAGGCCATGGAACAAGAACTACGCCGAAATTTGGGTAAGAGTCGATAATAGAGTTACCACAGCAATCTATGGTAAAGTTTTTCGCATGGTGTGAAGGTTGATCAATATGAGGTGAATAGGTACTTGTACATAGGCATAAAATTAGGGATAAGTGCTTCAAACGGGGTTTCGAGGCTCAATGAGGGTTGATGGTATGGGATTTAGCAGTACGAACCTTTGTATACATCTTGATTACTTGTATATAGTACACTTACAAAATGAATGTGTTTTGGTGCGTCGACAGGGTATTACGCATTGCCTATCCGGGTTTAGAGTGCACAGTACTTGTATGTATGTATGACACCATGTCAAACTATCGTATCTAAAAGCAATATCTTGCTGTCATTTCTAGAAAATCGGGAACAAAAAGGCCATGCAGTGTGACGGAATGTGTCAACCAAATATGAACTGAATACTCTACACGCTACAACCTTAAATGTACTGTCCATGGGTTACTTGCACAACAACGCGATCATCTTCTGTGGGATCCATAATGTGTGTATTTATAGCGAGTTGATATGTCCCCGTACTGTCCATGCCTCCGTGGGCTACTTATACAACACGATCATCTATTGTGTGATTCAGAACATTGTTTTAGATTTTTTTAATTAGAATTGATTATATTTACGCTACATTGAGAACTTGATTGGGATATAAGAATAAGGTGATCTAGTTTGAGGTTTATACGTATTTGTTTCCACTGTGGTTCACTTGATATTCGTATTCAATTATACGGGTAAGGACCAAAACAACATATAAATAAGTATTTGACAACGATATCACACAAGAAAGAATGGAGAATCGCATTCGATTTGATGTGTGTTTGATTGTTCTCGAAGTAGTGTTTCAAGTTTAAAAAATTGTCAGAAGTGACATTGGAAATGCATAGCCTCCTGTTACTAGGGTTAAGTTTAAAAAAAATTAGAACGTCTTAAAAATGGGAAAAGGTATTCGCTTCTATTATTTTATATTTTACGTCAAGATCGGATTGAGAATGAAATATGGAACTGACCGTCTGACCGATCGATTTTTTTTCCAACAAAATCTATAGATGTACAAATGTACTACATATTTACTATAATACATATAAATATAAAATATAGAAATATATTTTTTATTGTCAAATCTAAATACAGAGTCAAAATTGGATATTTCTTGCTTGTTTATTACAATAAACAAACAAAAATATACCTAAGTAAGTCTGTGACATTTTATTTATATTAAAAGAAAAGCTGTATATACTATATTTATTTATGTTTTGTTTAAAAAACAAACAAACATATGCAATGCATATGTAAGAGAGCCTTTTGTTAAAATAAATAAGTAGCATAGCCTTCAAAATAGTAAATTGAACAGTAAAAAAAATATTAAAAAATTCACAGATTCCATAGCCTTCCTTTTTTTTAGACACATGTCCAAAAAAATTTAAACAATCTAAAACCTAATGAAAGTCAACCTGAGCCCCGGGGAGTGACCCAAAATCGAACAAAGAGGCAAAACAAAACAAAACATGTGCCTCGTCTCGTGAGTCTGTGACTGACTGACTGAGAGTCTGAGACTGAGACTCACGGAGTTACTTATTTTAATTTGGGGGATTTTTTTAAATAAACAATAGAATCACACAGTGAGTCTCAGACTCTCAGTCAGTCAGTCCCAGACTCACAGATGTAACTATTTATTTAAAAACTATATATTTAAAATCTATAACTACAGACTGCAGTCAGTGCAAAGTTTGTAATGTCAACCATGTTTACCTCCGATTTAAAATATTGTTGGTTTTTTAAGTACCGAACTGTTCGGTAATGTTCCTGGGCGTTAATAAGAGTGCGAGAACTTCTAAGTGTGGGCGATAACTTATAAGTGTGAAAACTAATAAGTTTGAAAAGTTCTAAGTTGTATTGTGCGGTTTGTTGGCGAACGGCCGCGCAGGCTAGAAAGAAGAGAAGGTTGGTGTATGATTGGTGCTTTGCGAACCGAAGTGCGGGGTAATATGAGCTGGAGGTTGGTAGATGACGATATATGTTGAATGGACTTATGGGCTCGAAATTGAGTAGATACACGATTTGATTGGCGGCAGGATTCTCAAGGGAATCCTTCGGAGATAGTATAAATACGTGGTTTAGTTCATTCAAGAAGTTCATTCTGCTAAGGTAGACGTTTATTCAACTATCAAGGTAATAAAACTAGGTTCACCGTTACATTGTGTTTTGAGTCGATCAAGATTACAAGTTTATTCTTTTAATTTGTTTTTTCATCGAAAAGCAGCCTCGATTTGTGCTGACCAGAGCTACCATGTCAATATTAACAAAAAAATTAAGAGATAAAATTGCCGTAATTTTCGTTAAAAAAATACGTATTAAGGTCCATTCCTGATTTTTAAAACGAGCATTTAGACAATAGTCTCAGTCTAAAATCCCCTAATCTTTTGCTCATTACCAAGGGCTGAAGCTAAACTTATTTAACAATTTGATTAGCGTATTGTTTTATTAACGTAAACGTCTTGGTATCGTATAGTCAGCCTAGAGGAGACCGACTTTTAAATATTTTTAAGTTTAAATACGCTATCGATATTATGACGAAAGGAAAAAACAGCGAATGTAGCTAAGGCTACAAACGTGAAAAGGTTTATTGTAGGTGAAGAAAAGCAGAAAACACCCCCGGCACCATCAGTAGAAGCTGAAGCAACTGAGATCACGCCGGTACAACCGGCACCAACTCTGACTACACGGAAACGTAAGAAGTTGGCTGACTCGGATGTAGGTGCATCCGGAGGTAGTGCGACTACGGGGCCACAGAAGCCACAAGCGAAGAAGGCGAAATCTCAAAAGGGAAAAGCCGAGAAAACGCAATCCTCTGAAAATTCAACTTCAGAGGAAGTGCGACATGCACTGAAATCATATGTATCATACCCACCAGTGGACACGCGCACAGCACGTAGGCGAGATCCTATTTATCATATGATAGCAAGGGATAGGAGAGCCTTCCTGAAGGACTACCAACCAATGGTAGATGAACTGAGACCTACTAAGCAGCGGAAGAAAAAGCAAGCCGCAGCGAAGGATCAAAGTCATGGTGAATTAGGGGAGGATGACTCGGAGGATGAGCCAATAGCACAAACACCGCTGGATCAACCCTAAATCAACGTAACGGAAGAACAACTGCGTTTCGTGGATATAGGTCCGAATGATGTGGACCATACACTACACCATTAGAACGACAATTCGGAAACCAGGTTGGACTCAAAATTCCTGCGCTTACCCAAAAAACCACTCCAGCCGGCTTGGCAACAAAACTTTGATCTGGGCCATCCATACCAGACTCAGACTGATATTCAAAAGGAGTGTCAACGAGAGTTGATCCGACAGCGGGCCAACAGGGTATGGGTATTTCGAAATACGTATGGAACGTACTTTCCGGACGTATTGAAGACCAAACAGGATGGTACCATCTCACCGACGTATGTGATGAATGCAGCGGTAAGAAAGTTTGGGTATTATTTGCTTAGGGATTCTAAATATTACAATCGGCTAATATCAATGAAGTCTGACGAAGGTAAGCAAGCACGCAAATTTTCCGTCAGTTTCAAAAGATACTACCAAAGGTATTCGGAACTAGGAGAGATGGAAGTTTTGCACATTTAATTTGGTACGCAATTCGGGATATTCTTGGAGACATTCCCGACTTGATATCAAATTATTTGGCACTCTATGAAGCCATATTTGTAAACTTCGA